TCTAAAAATTGTTTCCACAGTTTATAAAAAAATTGCACAGGCTGTCAATTTGAAAACTTGAAATGAACGTGATAGGTTTGCAAGTGTTCACACATAGTTACATCCCAAAAATCTCTCTGTCAATTTTGAGAGATATATGATGTCATATTTGTGATTTGTTTTACCTTTTACATAATTGTCCTTTGCCTGGAAACCACACATGAGAACTTCAAATGCAGTAAGCTTTTGTGAGAATTAGCTCATACTTTAAAAAGGTGAAAGACAGGACAAAATGGGACTAAACCCAGCAATTTCCATACAGTCTGAATCTTCAGAATAAGTTATCCTCATGGCTTATTGTTTCAAAGAAGTGAAAAAGAACAATTCAATTTTTCTGGCACTCAATTTGATTTTGTGGTTTTAAATTTTTTAATTATTATTATTATTTTTTGTTGGATGAATCTGATCTCCATATACACTACCTTTTCAGGATTGGAGAGTTATAAATCGTATCAGAATTACTAATCCATTTAGCATTGCTATTTCAGCTCGCTTCCTTTGCAATTGATCTCAATTAACCAACTCTGTCATAATTCATTCCATAACAATACACCCTCATAACCTATAAATGAGCACTTTCTTGATTTTCCCCTTATCAAGATTAATGTAATGTGAGTTAATGTCACAACCCTTGTTAGATCTTTAATTAAATTATATGTACTTCAACAAAGAGTGAAGCAAAATTGTTTGAATTGTGGTACACTCTAGCATATCAATATTTTTACAAGCCAAAATTTGCATCTTGTGAATTATTTTGGGAGATTGTGTGTATGGTCACTGTTGGATTTCAACGACTTTGAGTTTGTCTCCTATATTTCCAGATGACAATTAAATGTTATAGAATTGGATACCAGCCAAACAGGCTACACATTTTTCCACTGAATTCCAAAGAAAGGAGCTGAAATTGTTCTTTGGGAAACAGAACTTTTGCTGAATTAAGAAACACCTAGAAATGGGACCAAAATTCCAACTACACCAGGATGGCCCTCAGGCTCACAATTGTTTTATTTAGTGTCTTTGGAGCTTCTTTGTAGAAAGACAACTTTCTAGAAATGCAGGCACCTTCACCTAGATTAGTCGGCAAGGCAGTGGATGAAGTGGGGCCCTGAGGCACCAGGGAGTGCCTCTATGCCTGGTGCAGAGACTGTTGAGTCATGACTGCCTATCACAGGGGCATGAGTCACCAAGCTGTTAGGCAAAAGCAGATTATTCCAGAGGCTATGTTTAAAAGACAACTGGTAGTTGCACCTGTGTCTCTCTGTGTTTGTTGCTGTTTGTGGAGTATACTTACTGCACTGTAGGTTCGTGTTTTTGTGTGTGGTTTTTTTTTTGGTTTTTTTTTTTGTGAGGTTTTAGGCAAAGAAATTAAAACTTCTGGATCTTGATCAAGCTTAGATTGGAGACAGTCACTGAGCTTTCTTGGACTACAATAGTTCTGGACACACCCAGAAGGAGAACTTTCAAGTTTTTCAAAGCATTTAAAGTAAAACAAAGAGGCACCTTCAGGGTTAGGTGGAGTAACTTGCAAGTTTTGTTTTAATGAACATGTTTGTTCCATGTAAGCATCAGAACTTTTAATCCGATCTAATTCTGGATCCCTCTGTCATGCACCTTTCAGAGACAAGAGTATATTTTAATGTAGTTAATGAATATTTTAAGAAATAAAACTGGTGATAGGTATCAACAGCTGCAGTCCAAGCTGTTGGATATATGCACAAATTATGTAGCTAGATAAACCTGGAGCACTGTGAGGTGCTTTATCAACATCTTGTGAATGTAGTTAATTTTGGCTGCAATCCAAAGGATTTGCATTGAACATTGTTTTATAGGTGTGAACAACTAAACTAGACTGTATAGATACACTATACTTCATCATGAGCAAGGCAACAGATTCAAAGGAAATCTTAGATGGGTACAAAATTTTTATTCAAGTATTTGTAATTTTTTTCCCATAAATAATACAGAAAAAGATCTTTGCAGGTTGGTAAAAACATGACTTTGGAATTATGCTTAAGTTTGATATCTACTTGAGGTTGCCATTGTCAGTAGCTGGCAAGATACATAATCTAACCAGGAAGATAAATATTGAAGGAAATGTAAATTGGCTTGCTATATATTTTAAGTCAACAAGATAAAATAGGCTAACAACTCAAAGGAATTCTGAACTTAGTTGATTTTAGTGTATGTTCCTACATGATCTATTTCACATCCTTGAGAGTTAAAATAGTGGGTCTTGAATTGTTTCAGTAGGTACTGTACATATGCACATGTTAAGAAATTTGTTACAGTTAGTACATAGATGCGTATGGATATATGTGAGTTGACAGGACTAATAAGAAGTATAGGTTGATGCTAAAGGGACTTTGGAATTCATGAAAATGAAATACCATCCACTCACAATACACAAAGGATATAGTCACATGAAAAACTGCGTGTGAGGGGTCCCATGATATTTAAGAGGTTAGGATAACTAATTCGTGGGCTTTCTGCAAATTTTCAAACCACTTTGTAGGAAGGCATTTCTTTAAGTTAATTAGCCAAGGAGGAAATCTCACTGTTGACTTTGCAGTAGACTTTCTTCCTTTTTTCTTAACTTTCTGTATGGTGTTTGTGGTCTCTGTCCTGATAATTCTTTGTATTGCATCTATTAACTCTTTGAGAAGTCCTATGGTGTCCGTTTCAGCACATTTCTCAGTTACTGCTGTTGAAATAATGTCTGACTACAAGTGGGCTGCTAGGGTGAGATGATTAAGGAGACCCTGCAGTTAATGTTGAGAGTGTCAGAGTAGATTTCAGTAAATACCAAGATAAAGGATGGCTATGATTAGTTCATAACTTGATAGTTTAACTGATGAGACTGGCAGCAGCAGTTAGAAAGAGTTAGGATTGCCCCCCTGCAGTGTGAAAGGGGAGGATGCTTTGATCAGAGTATTTTTATCCAGTCTCATTTTTCTGTTTTATGAAACACCTCTCTGTTTGATTTAAATGCCATGGTTGTTCAGGAGATGAGGCTTTAAATCTATTCCATCCTGTGTGGTGGGTTTGGTTGGTTGGTTGGATTGGTTGTTTTTTTGGGGGGAGTGTGGAGTTGTGTTTTGGTTTTCCCTGTATCCAGTGTCACAGATTTTGTTTTCTGGGGAGACTGCTGAAATGTCAAATATTTTAATGCAGTGGAGAAAGTCTTGTGAACTCTCCTGAAGTACAGGAGTGTAGGTTGTTCCAGGTGAGATAAAATCTGTTCTTCTGTCAATAGGGTTACTAGAAAGTCTTTTGCTAGATAGGGGCTTTTAAGCCCCTTGTGGGAAGGTAATTTGACTTTTACATTTGCAAGACTAATTGCAGTGACTAGCACATAGTACACTCATCAGGGTTTTGTAAGTTTTCTTGCCAAAATTCATGTTATTTAATCCTAGTGATAACTGTCTAGCCATTTCAGGTATTCATTTTGCCTTGAATCTTCTGGAGGGAAAAATATTTTCACAGTTGCACATTGTCATATCAAAAACACAACTGCCCAAGTGACATTTCTTTCAATAGGCTGTAAGCACCTAAGCACTTAAGAGTTTCTTTTCAAAATTATTTAAGTCACTTAGATACTTAGCAGTTTTTACACTGTGTGCTGCAAATGATATTTCAAATGAAATGCGTCTGTGAGTTGCAGTGAGAAGTGTTTTGAAAAAGGCATTGAAATACTGTTGAAAGTTGAGTTTGTAATGCAACCTGCCATTGACAATAAAGATACAGATGAACTGAAAAATTGAAAACATATGCAGGGACTTCAAGCACTCTTTTAGAGAACAACCTTCAGAAACACCAGAGGTCCCTCCCTGGCTTCTTTGCAAAACTAGATCTATAATAGTATCTTTTCTGCTTGGCAAATGAAGTGCCATTTACAAAGTGGATTAGGGGAGTGCACATTTCTTTTTCTGTGTTTGTATCCTGTAACAATATTCTGCTGAGATCATGTCCCTCTCCCTCCCTCCCTCCCTTCCTCCCTCTCTTTCTTTGATTTTGATTTGGGGGTGGGGAATATTTAGCTTGTCTACTTACCTGCAAGCAGACTGCACTTTCTAGCAGCAGGATCTGTACTTTATCTAACTGCATATTTTTAAAGTTCTTATGAGTCTTGTCCCTTTCTAGGCAGATTTTAATTGTCTGGCTGCCTGACAGAATTTGAGAGCTCTTTATCTATGAACAGCAATGTTCTCTTGTTTCTGTTCACTCCACTGCATTTGAATGTGTAACCACTTCTAAATGGCAAGATACAGTGATTGACCAAGCTCTGAAATGTGTAGCTTTAGGTTCAGTCCTAATTGTGTTTTATTTTCTCTTATTCTCCCTCCTTACCCTCACCTCCCACCCCTCTTGATTTATATTGTATTTCTCTAGTGCAAGGGAGGTGATTTTTTGGGGGTCTTTTTTTCCTGTAAACTGTGTGAGCAATCATCCTTGCATTGCTCACAAAATTGAGGGTGTAGTAGTAATATTACTATACAGTAGAAATTGATAGCCTGGTTTCAATTCTATGAATTCTATTAACTTAGGACTGTAAGTAAAGCTATTTGCTTTAAGTGACATACCAAAATGTGAGATAAAAAGGCAAGTAAGTTTAGCATCAGTTTTGCATCTTTGGGAATCAAATTAAGGTTTTACATCCCATAGCCTTTTCAGCAAAGCACTAACACTGATGAAGTGTGGTTGCAAAAAATGAGGTGTGTCCAGTCTAGTCATGTGACATACACTGGATTTCCAGTTTTATTTGCTCTGAAGTCCCAAGAGTTCAGGTAGAGATGATTAATGTATGTCTGTATATAGTTTCATAGAAATCCTGGAAAATACCAAATAAGCAGTATTACATTATTGTTCTCTTTTCTTTCTGTAGGATTTGAGTGTGATTGGCATTGTGCTGTACCACAGTGAAGCGGTATTTGTCACTTCAAGACACCTTGCATTAAAAGATCATGGTAGACAGTTTAATAGTTTCTTTGAGGTAAGTGATACAATAAAACATTTTAAAACTTATTTAATGTGCTCTTAAGACACTGCAATAAACACACTGGTTGCCTCTTGCTTTGGTATTAAAAGTGTGTGTATCATAGGAGAATAAATAAAAAACTTATCCAAAGAGCAAATAATGAAGTACGTGCATACCAGACATAGCATTCTTTGGTGTTAGTAGAAAAAGAGAGTTCTCAAGTGTTTGTTTATGCTTAGAGCATCTGTTAGTTTGTGCCAGTGTGACGGCATGTATTATTGGAAAGTTTCTTTTTTTTTGATGAGGCTATACAACTACAGGCACTGGGCTTAAATTACTGATTTCCATGTTTTAGTACCTATGCTGCAATTCATTCAGGGATTTATATTACACATTCCTGAAACGGTTTGTCAGTAGGCAAACACAGGAAAGACCTTTCAAACATTTTTCCTGACAAAAGGAACATTCAACGGTTTCTAAGCTGGTCTGTCCAGTTCTGTAGTTGGGCAAGCAGATCCAGAGACACCAGGCAGCTGTGGTGCTACATGGACAAAATTTGACCTCCAGCAGGCAGTAACAACTGCATGCCCTTTAATTTGTATGGAGATACTGTCAGTCACTCCTTCCTTTTTGTGAATTTCACACCTCAATCTTTGCATTGCAATTCTGGCACCCTCCTACTGTGCAAGAGTGGATTCCATGTAAAAATGGGTCTGTCACATATTATTGGCACTGTGTTATCTTTCCTGTTGAGATTTTTCCCTGCATAGCTCTTCCCAAGCTGTCCCAGACTTAGACTGTTCTGCAGACTTTTGTTTGGGAGGAAGCTGGGAGTATGAGACAAGAGACATACTGTACCACTCAGTACTAATCACTTGGCTAAAATACTTCCACTCCTATCTGGACAATCCACAGTTGGCCACTGTAGCCCCTTGTAAAATACAACTACTAAGGGACAGCAACCATGCAAGAAGCATCTTTTGGTAGCCTCCAGCTTCATTCATGGAGAGCTAATACTGCAGTGGCACCTCCAAGGGCTGTTTCTAAATAAGGTGTTCAATAGCAAACTTCTTGCGACTCCTACAGTAGAGCTAATGGCACGTTGCTTTGCTCCATGCCCTCCAGTTAAACAGAAATTGGTATTGCCAGTAAGAGAAAGTGAGCATGTTTAGTCTTTGCAACTTGGACAGACTTCCAGTTTAAAGCCTGACTTTAATTTAAACTAGGTACTTGGCTCCAAATAGTGCCATAACTGAGAGCCTGGGCTGTACCAGCAAGGCTCTTACACAGAGGCCAGAGTTAAAAAGAGCCATCAATCAGCTGCAATTGATACCTGACTTCCTTATGCATACTCAGTAAGCTTTGCATAATTTTGAGGAGCACTTGTTCTTTTTGGCTTTTCTTTACAGGGAGAATACCTGAAACAAACCCACTGAAGTTGGAGAAGCCTATTTTCATAGCTTGGAAGACCTAATGTCAGTCGCACATGACAAATAAAAAAGCCTATTCCAGAGAAGTTAGTCAGAGCAAGCTACTGAGGGATGTAACATTCAAAAAGTTTAATTGCTGAACCCAGATTTGAAGCTAGATTTCCTGTATGTTAGAAATAGTATATTGATACCGTTGTTTCTGAGAGGTCTAACTGCAGTTACAGAAACAAACTGAAAACCTGGCTTCATTGTCCCTGAGCACGTACATACAGATGATGATTACATGTAACCTCACTAAAGAATGGTCAGGAAAAGCTTGGCACCACGTAATCACATATATATGAAAAGTTTGCATTTCAGAAGTGGAAACTTTTAATCTGGTAAATAATTTGCTTTGAAGATTACAGTTCTTTTTCAGTTCAGAACTCACAACCTCGTGCGTGATTTCAGAAGAATTTACTCATGGAAATCTGTAGTCCTTCAGACTGATGAGAAAAATCCAGTCCTCAAAAATCTGTTGAGGATGAAAGTATTCATTTCCTTATGCCAAGTCTGAACTTTCTTTCACGTGGTCTGAGGGATTCTGGGGAGCAGAAGCCATAAGGGAGCAGGGAATAGGCAGGAGGATTCTGAAAAGGAAGTTAAATTTAATTTGCAGAGGATGTAGGCTGGATCTGTCAGAGACTGAACTCTGCTTGCTTAGAAACTTGTCATGTTTTAAGTGAGATAGGTAGAACATCACTTGAGCACTTGAAAAAGGAATATGCAGGTCTGCTAAAGGCAGACTTGGTGCTGTCATTTTGCAGTTTGGAGGTCAGAAATCTGTTTCTGTTTATACCTTTGATTTCAGGTGTGATTTGCGAATCAGTTTCTTCATTCGCCCCTTTGGCTTCCATCCACCACTGAGTTATTTGGCCTTGTTCTTCTGAACTGCACATTTTGCCTCTTACTGTGGTTTATCTATAGTGATTACACTGCCTCTTAATTTCAGTTATCCTTTCTTCTAACAGACTTCTTAAAACAGTGTTTTAATTGTAGTGGGTTTTTTTTGTTTGGTTGTTTTTTTTACTAAATGTGAGAGTAAGGAAGTAGTGACTTTTTCTTGCCTTTGTATGGTTGATTGCTTTGGGAGAGAGAGACATAGACTATGGTGAAGAGGTGTTGACAGGTCATGTGCAATACTTACCTAATGATTCCTTTTGCAGTATGTTAGCAAGAACACACACAGAAAACTCAGAAACAACATTCTCCCCAGTAGAGGGATATTTGTATTAGTGGTAATAAAATGCTTGGTATAAAAAAATCCACCTCCTTCATTATCTCTGAAAATACCTGAAACAATGAGAAATATTTAAAGAGTTACTGTGTAGGAAGCCAAGGAAGGACCTGTGAGTAAGAAGCACAGCTGGATTTTGTCTGGTCCATTAGTTTTGCAGATGGATTTTGTGTCTAAATCCATCAGTTTTACTTCTGCATTGAAATTCAACAAATCATTAGCAGCTTTCCTTTTTATAGAGGGTCTGAATCATACTCTGTAGACTGAAAAGTCTGGTAGAAATAGACTGAAACTAGAATAGACTGAAACTGGTAGAAAAGACTGAAAACTCCTCGTAGAAATATATAATCCTACTTCTCATACCTTTCTGTGTGTTCTGATGAAGGGTCTTGCTAGGAGGAGGCAAAGCAGTCCCCTGTGCAAATTATAGCAAACAAAAGACTGAACTAACGGAGCCTAAATTGTAATGGGCTCCTAGGAGTCATTATGTTGGTGAGGCTTGACAGAACAAAGTTTGTTTGGGCTTGGTTCCCATTCTGACTCCTTTCCAATTGAAGATGTGGGGACTGGGGTGATACTTGGCTGCTTATCCTAAGTCTCTGGTGAGCTGTGCCCACTGCTTTCCATCTTCTGTGCCCATTAGATTATTCAGTTTCCACAAGTGTTGGGCAGCTGAGGAAGAACCTATTTTCTGCAAAATCATGGTGATTCTTTGAATGTTTCCTGTGTATTAGAGGTGGGGAATTCATCTGAAAAAGGGCAGCCAGAGCTAGTAGCAGACTTAGCCCTCAGATGGGTGAATTCTTACTTAGCACGTTAGAAAACTTGTGAATTGTATGTCAGTTTGACACCAAATGCTGAAATATTAAAACATGCACTGCCAAAAATATTTTAATTTAAACAAAGTTATGAGAAATACTATCAATACTATACTTTTGCTTTGTAGATAAATGTGCATGTATGTTGTCCTGTCTGCTGTCAAGTGAATGTCCTAAGAAACTTTCATACAATTTAGTGAATCTGTCTTGGTTAGTAGTGCTATTGAAGTGTCTGAATGAGTTCTTGCAGTACAAATCTCTGTAATAGATTGTAAATTTGTCATTTATATTAGTGGTTATTATATCTACTGTTTCACTATTTGCTTTTTCAGACTTCTCAGTTCCCTAGCAGTGCTGGGATTTCAGTTTGTCATCCCACAACCTTCAATTGAACACAGAAAGGTAAGCATTAGAAATATTCAGATTTTGTATACTGAAAGGTAAATGTAGGAAACATTAGCGTGAGATGCATAGAGCAATACAGTCTAAATAAAGTTCAGTGAGTAATGGGGCTTTTGTTTTATGTGTAATTTCTTTTAAAATATAAATATATGCTTGGTTAAAAGAGGCTCGTCGTGGTCAATTAGCTGAGTGTTATAAATAGAAAGAAAGAAATTGTATGGAGTGTTGTAGGTCACAAATTTGTCTGTGTCAGCTTATTCAAGCTTTGGAGCATTTTCATAATGAAAGACAAAGGGGAGGAAGAGTTCATGTCAGTGAGAACAGCTCTCAAAAATGGAATCATTAGAAGCATCCAGTGGCTTGTTGGTAGTTTTTTCTCTTACAGCAGTGCACATGTCTGAAACAGAAGTTGGACCTAAACCACACTCTGTGGCTAGATTGAAATTGCTAGAGCTTGAGGCTGAAAACTGCTGTACTTTCCTTTTATGCTCTTGTGAATGGTTCACATGTCATAGAAATTGGTGTGTCTAAGAAGGTTTGCAGCGTGAACACCTTCCACCTGCTCAGCATTAGTGAGGACTCATCTGGAAAACTTAGGTTAGGTTTTTGCAGAGTGTAGTAGTGGACAGTTTGGAGAGAGATAGAGGGCAGCAGTGATTATCTTCAAGAGGTTTTAAAATCTTACTTCTGAGAGAAGTTTGAATGAATACATATTTGTTTAGCCTAAATATTAGAAGTCTGGTGGGGGCAGATAGGAGGAGGCAGATATAACCTCCAAATACTTCCAATTGCTAAAGAGAAGGCTATTTTTTCTCTCTGTGGTGCAGCAGAGAAGAAATGGATTTAAACTGGAGCAATGGAAACTTGGTTAGAAAGAACTTGTCATGGTAAAGATATAAAGAAGAGATCATAGTGACTGGATGACATTGAGAATTTCCATGGTGAAGGTCTGTGTGAATGTGCTGGACAAATGTTTGTCAGAATGGATGTGTTGCTGATTAAACCAGAGCCTTGAGGAGAGACCCTTTGAGTGTTTTGTCTCTTTATGAGCTGTGACCTTATATTGTTGTTGATCTCATTCTTAATTGGTATTCCAGCAAAACCAGTTAATTATTAAAGGTATCAATAAACCTATTTTCAAAAAAGTTTGGTTTTTTACTATAGTTTTTTTAATAGTAATGCAAGATGCATGTATACTTTAAAACTGTACTTTTTAAAGGAGATAAAGACAAATTTGTGGGGTTTTGTTTTTTTTTATATGCCTATGCCACTTGTCTTTAGGGCAAAAAGTTATTTGGACAATAGCTCCATAGGTACGGACTAGGAACCTGAAGCAATGAGGTCATAAGTTCCTGAAGAACTCAGCTGTCATGTTCAACTCCTTGTGCAGCCTAATTGTAAGACAAATTAAATAAGGTCAGTTATGATGCAGTCTGAAACTGGCACAGTCCAGTCTGCAACATTTCTCAAGCTACCCGAGTGCTTTATTCTAAACCTGAGTACAGCATAGTATTTTTCCCTATTGTAGATCTCTTTTTTTGTTGTGCAGTTGAGATGGTCATGCTGGTGCTGTTTTCAGTACGCTGTCTAATTAGACATTCTTTTGTAAAATTGACAGTGGAGAGATGTGAAATCCAGCTTCCAATTGGCCTTAGGGGGGGAAAAAAAAATGTACTAACTAAAAGAGAATAAGTCAGACAAACAATTGCTTCATTCTATGAAGCTCCGGAATTAATTTTGATAAAATCAGATTCTTTGTTTTCAGTTGAATAAAAATGCCATGGGTCTGGAGTGTCTTCTGTACTAGTTAAAGGGACCGAAGGCATGGCATTAAGAGGCATGGTAACCACCTTGGAGCTGTTCTTTTTACAGAAAACAAGAGAGGCAGAAGTTCCCTAGTGAAATCCCATGCAGGCTGCAAACCTGTCTGTCATTCTTAGCTCTTACACTATGTGAGAGGATTCTTTTCATGCCAAACACTGCTTAGACTGGAAGTCTGTATTTATTAAACTTTTCAGAAACCTTCTGACCCACCTATCAGCTCCAGACAAGAGAGGCTGTTCATAACTCTGAAGGCCAAGTCAGGCACATTTCTAACTGAGTGTGAGTTCTCAATTTTGTAGCTCTTGAAGTTGTTCCTGTTCTTTTTATGCAGTAACCTGGACCTGTCTTTTCTGACATCCCTAGCCAGCATCTCCTGTGTATTTCTGCATGGATATCTCTGCTGTTTGGCAGGGCTCCTTTGTGAGAGGAGGCTGGTTTTGCAGGAAGAAGGTGGGAGGAAAGAGGAAGGATTTGATGAACAATATGTCATTTTAGCAATCTAGTGAATAGCAAAAGTGGTGTTTGGTAACTCTTGTGTACCCTGTCAAAGGGTACAGTATGTGGAAACTGAGTAACTAGAGCTGAATTCTAATGAAATATTAGCTTATGCCCCTATTTGTGTGTTTATTTTGCAGCTTTTAAACTTGAGCATGTGTGTGTGATTGACATGCAGTGTTAGAGAGTGTTTGGATTCTGTCTTGCATGCCCTGCATATAGTTATTTTTGCACTGAAAGCTATGGACGGGGAAATAAAGTCAGATAATTGAACTTGGATATTTGACCGAACAATTCATTAAAATATTTCCCAATAGCCTAGATTTTTTCTTACACTAAAACTTTTGGGAAAATGAAATAAACCCTGGGACAATCCACAAAGCAGTTGATGGAAATCCAGTTGTAGCTGCTTCTGGGCACCCAGAGTTCAGCTAAAGTGGTGTTTTTTTAGGACTGTGAGAACACTTTAGAACGTCAGGAAATATTATTTTCTGTTGGCTTAAAAATCTTACTAGATTTTCATATTCTGTTTCTTTTTTTGGAACCCATATTTAAAGTCATACTAATTTCAGAGACACTGACATAATGTCAACTTTGCAACAAAAATCTGGTTGTAGTTGTGTGCACACACAAGTCAATTTCTGGCATGACAGCTCATCATGCTGTCAAGCTTTCTATTCTCCCCCCCATGCTTATTTTATCGAATAAATATTATTTAACCATATCTGGTAAGTGACATACTGTGATTAACAGAAGGTTAAACTACAAAATAGTTCTAAGGAGTACCATGGGATCTCCACCACAGCTGGTCACCACCTTGCTTTTACATATCCTGAGAAGCAGAAGGATGTAACACAAGGCTATGTTCTTACTTGTAATCCAGGGAGAGTGAAGCTCTGCCCTAAAGGTCAGCACTGACTGAAATGTAGAACTTGTCATGACTTGCTGAGCTGGAACTCGACTCTTGCCAGCAGGCTTACTGCAAAGTTACTGTAGTTCTGTCCTGCTGGGCTGTGTATGCTATCCTGAATTTTACTGGAGCAGCTTAGTCACCGTGTCTCTGTGTACAGCTGCTGTGTAAGTGTGTTCCTTGCAACACGTGTTTGCAGGTGTCACACTTTTTCTTGTAATGTTTTTCATGTTTATAAGATAACTGTTGCTTTTATCACTATTTTCGTACACATCAGTTCCATAAAACACTACCAGATGAAATGTAGTCCAGATGTAGTCCCCTTGCAGTTTTCCTCCACTGGTCTGCTTGCACAGTTGCTTGACTTTTGCAATAATTGAAACTTTGATAAAATAGGGCCTTTCTAGCTCTAGATAACAATGTTGCTATTCCAATTACAGTGATCTACAGGAAGCACGAGAAATTATTTAGTCCATGCCAAGATTTTTCCTTTAAAATTAGCCTTCTAGTGCAACAGAATATTTGGAACAATAGCTGAATTTTCTTGCTATCTCTGCATTGTTACTAATTCTCTGTCCTTGATGTTGTGGATTAAAATGGTGAGGAAATAAAATTCTTCTTTGCTTGGTGAAGGGAGACTGGATAAGGATACATCGTTATATGTAAATACACTCAGAAAAAATCAAGGCCAATGGTTTTATTATTTTTGACCTGTTTTATCATGGGCCTCCACTTTTTTTATTTTTCTGTTAAAAAATACTTACTTCTTTAAGCTCAGAGCATGAGGGGCTTAAAGTGTTTCTCCTGGAAAAATGAAAGGATCTTTGTTCCAGTTGGATTCCAGAGCAGGTGAACTTACAAGGTCATAGATAAGCTTCTCATCTTCCTTCAGAGCAGTATTGCCTGCTAGTTCTGTCCCAGGGTTTGGATCAGAAAAGTGATGAGAAGATTTTTGGCTTCACAGATCAGTTCTTCTGAATGTTGCTTTCTAATTTATGACAGCTTGTCCTCTCTGCTTCTGGATTGATGGGTGGATGACTCACTGAAAGACCTTGGGAGGTGTTATGTGAATTACTGAATAAATAAAGTCCATAATTCCACTGCATGTGAAAATACACTTTTTCTAAGTGTAGAAATACAATATAATGGCAACAGCTTTGTCATAGCTGGAGATGATTGAATTGGAAAAGGCCTAGGATAGTACAAGCTGAGTAACTTAGGTCACAAATGATAGCAAATGATGAGAAATAGTTTATTAAAATAAAAAAGCTTAATTTGTGATACAGTGAGGGCTTGCTGCTTATCATTTTTACTTTACTATAGATCAGAAGCAATCCTACTGTAGATAAGGAGTGATTATTCAGAACAGGTAGAAGTGAGGTCATGAATGAGCTGTTTACTTGAAAATACTTAATAGTCTCATGGAAAGAAACCTCTGCCTTAGAACACTAGGCTCACAGGGCACAATGGTGGTGGTCTTGATGCCAAAAAAAATTGGTCAAACTTGGAAGAACCTTCAAGCTGAAGCATAAAAACTGTTCTGAACTCTCTTCAGAGCTGCTTACTTTCTAGACTATTTAAATAATATTAAAGTTTCTTCAGATGTGGTAAAAGTTGGTTGAAGGGGCAGTTAAGCTTTCCAAGCATTGTAACTCCCTTCAGTGATTTGTGAATACAAAGGTCTTCTATTTCCAGGCTTTTTAGCCCTTTAATCTTCACAGGCACAGATGTTCAGACAGAGGTTTTATACAAAGAGCGGAAACCCAAATCA